TGAGAACAGTTGTGACTTGTACAAAGGATCCTCTAAGTGCCATGTGGCCGAAAAAAGCACACGGATTCAAGAGCTATGTAAAGATGTCGATCTTTAAATGGACAGGCTGCATTAAAATCAGAGGCAGACAAAGAAAACAAAGTTTCACTGAGGCACCGTTTGGGAATGTGATGCGTTTGAGAGGAAAAGACATAGTCAAGCAAGGTTTGAGAGGAAAAGCACTTTGATAGAAGCTTTTGAAACCAGTGTTGCGCCTAAAGTTAGACAATTCCGAAAGACACTAAATATTATGTTTAGGTTAATCTTGTAATTTGAGAGATAAGTTCTTTATAATATAGTTATGCCAACCACTCATGGAATGCTCAAGTAAAATTTAAATAGTAATAATTAAAGCAGGTAATTCAAAGGCTACCACACCAGCAAACAGGCTCCAAGTATGAAATGTCTTAGCACAATAATCCACAGATATGAAACAAAGGGCTTATCAGAAAATCAGGAAACGTTTTGAACACGGAACTCATCAAATGGCTCAAAATGTTCCTACTTTCAAACAATTATGTGATATTTCTCATCCCTTGAGTAGCCTCATTGTGATAAGAGTAAAATAGTGAGATATTTTTCCAAGCTCTTCCAGAATTAACGCCAAAAAACAAAACAGTGGCGGTGCCATGCAATACCTCAAACATGGCTTCGGTTAGAATACTTTCTAATATAGATCTTAAACCACGTGCACCAGTGTTTTTGGCTATGGCTTTCTTGGCAATAAGTCGAAGTGCATTCTCGGTAAACTGTAATTTGACCTGTAACATCAAAACAAATTACTTCACAGTAAATTGACTGATTTTGATCCAGTGCATCAGAATGAAGTATTATACGTTGGAGGAGCTAAACAGCACTGAGCTAAAACCTTACATTATTCAAGTTGAACATCTGCTTGTACTGCTTGCAAAGAGCATTTTTGGGTTCTGTGAGAACCTGCAGAAATAAAAATCCACAACCAAAAGGAAGAAAAGGAAGTAAGAAACAATATGAAAGGTGAATAGCAAAAGAGAAAATCAACTTCAAATATTTTCTTTCATCTTTAAGCAGCCTATAGTTTTTTCTCCTTTCCATGGCAGTCCAAAAGGCATAAACAACATAATTTCCAAATGCATGCATATTGAAATTAAAAATGTCTTCTCACAGCAGGTTTAGGTGATGTTTACAAACATATACAGCTATGCATTTTTCATTTTTTCAGTTGGTTGGTTTCTCTATCCAAGTTTTAACCTACTATTGTAAGATTACAGCATTTAACCATGTTAAAGGTACTTAGATTAGATATTTGAATTAAATAGCAACAAGTTCGATAGAATTTTTGATGTAGACTATAAATGCAAAGAATCTGAAAGGACTGGAGGATTATTTGAAGAAGTTTAATAATGTAATGGTTGGCAGGCGGCGGTGGCGGCCCAAGCTCTAAGTCCAAAGGCACAGAAAGAGAAGTTCATGATTTTAACTGATGTCATCATGGGAAAAAGGATTAAAGAAAGAGAGAAAAGGCAATATCGGAAGAGAGTACCTTTAACAGAACACATGGAGTTTATTATTCTTCCCTTCTTAAAGTCTGCTAAGAGTCCGCGGTAGCACCTAAAACAAAACGTAAAACTCCCACAAACCCCATTCAATCAATCAATCAAACTTAAACCTCAACCTAATCGGAGTGCAATTCCACTCTGGCCGAACCCATTTCATTAGAACATCTTCAATACATGTATTACTATGAGGATTCATCATCATTTGACTGTTTTTAAGTTGGTCATCAACCTCCCGAGTCAGGTTGAGTCACCAAAAGGCCGATTAAAGCAGGAGAACGTGAAACTAGATACCACAATGCCAAATGCAAAAAGATTAAACAAACCTGAACAAGCTGATCCTCATCCAGTGAAGATAAACTCACTAAAACTGGAAACCGCCCCACAAATTCAGGTATGAGTCCATATGCTGTGAGATCGTCACTTTCTACCTAGATACAGAAAGCAGTGTCAAACAAATGCTTCCAATGCATTTGGCTTCGAAAATTTCACGAGAATAAAGAGTCAAGCAATCATTAGATTCAGAAAAGGAAACTACGCTCAAGAGTCACAGGGATCTCCTCACAGATTCCAACAGTGATGACGTGACTACGGCATCAGTTAGACCACCAACTCTCATGTTAGTTCGGACAGGTGCTCCAAATCCAATTGAAGAATCTTGTCGTCTGGGAGTAATGGAATGATAAGATGACCATAATATATCACTTAACCTAAATGTGATTCATGAATTTAGTTGAGTTTGACAGAAATACCTTTCTGAAATTGTCTTCTCTAAACCAACAAAAGCTCCACCGCAGATAAAAAGAATGTCTTTAGTATCTATCTGCAAATTAGTATATGGTAAAATATAAAAAGCAATCAGCATCTGGAAAGAACAGTGATGAGGCATTTAACAAGTAGCGTCCATCTCGATACAACATTACATCTTTCATAGTGATTGCTGCAAGACATATAAATCAGTATTTGACTCGACTTCCACCCTCCAAAAATATGTGTAGTTTAACTGAAGACATCCTGTTTCTTTTTGTTGAATAGGTTACTGTCTGACTCTGACCTTTTGATTTCCATGGCCAAACAAACATTCCAGTAAAGATTTTTCCCAAGGCCAACTTAAGCAAATTGATTTTAAATTAGTAAACTATATTACCATCCAAAAAGCCAGTAGTATTTTTTCCCAAAAAACTGTTAGCCAGCAATTTTTAGAAAAGAAAAAGTAGATAGAAAGGCTTTACTAGATTCAGTAAACCTGAATAGTATCGCCACGTGGCTGCTTCCGTGCTCTATTGTCAGGTACACTTACAATCTGAACAAGAAATTAAGATAATCTGAGCAACTGAGACTATTGATATCTGAAAATGCTTCAAAAGAGAACATCTTTGAAGTCAAGGAACTACAGGCATGAATCTGTAAGCATTTTCGAAAGAGTATTAGGAAATTGAAACGAACAGATGAAACAATTTGCAATAAATACTCACAGTTCCTTCAAGCATCTTCAGCAGCGCCTGTTGGACTCCCTCCCCAGATACATCTCTGCCGACGTTCAGGCTCTCAGCCTACACAGATGACTGATGAGAGTGATTACTTTAAAATCAATTATCCAAACTCATAAAGTAAATAATCGTTTCTGGACCTTTTTAGTTATTTTATCAACTTCATCTATGTAGACAACCCCTTGCTGAGCTGCTTCAACATTGAAGTCAGCAGCCTGAAAACAAACACCAAAAATTTATAGTTGACTAACTACACTGCTGATAGTGCAAAAGTGAAGCAGATTACAAAAGAGAAACTACGTCAAGATAGAAAGCTGGAGCCCAAATGTGGAATATATATCAGGTGCACAAACAATATATCATCATGCCTATATCAGATAGATAGACAGACATGAAACATAAAAGAGGAAATGTAAGTGTTATCATCAACAATGTGAAACGAAATTGCAAAATCAACACAAAAGAATCACAAGCAGTAGTACCCAAAGAGAAGCCATCAAGATTTTTACTCAGAGGATGACTGACCATAGGTATATTAGAAACACTGAAGTCAAAAAAGTACATTGAAAAGCTTGCACAAGGTAAAAACGTTATCTATTGATAGAATTGATATTCAGAACATAGTTGAATTTTGTGCCACTCGCCCCTATCTTTTGCAATATTGCTGGAAACAAGAAAACTAAACATTTTGGATCATATCCCTCTTGTTTAATTAAATCAAACAAGTACAGGCGTCAGACCATTTTCTGATCTAAACTCCTAATTTCACCAACTCTGATTTGAAGGGCTGTAAATAAGATGAGCTAACTGAGCAGACCGGGCATGAATTGAATGAAGTTATTTTCAAACGCTATTAAATTATCATGCCTACCTCGAGTAATTTGTACAATACAGATTCCACATCCTCGCCAACATAACCAGCCTACAGAGAGAAGATGGATAAATGCTTATTATTTGCATGCTATTGATATTACTAATAAAAGGTAAAATAAACTACAAATTCATTTCACCTCCTTGGAGAAGCAGGTTTACTTAAAGATGGTCCACAATTATAAGAACCAATTAGACTCAGAAAACATAGGTCACCAGAGCTCAATGGTACGGCAAGAATAAGCAGAAGTAAAATTCAATCAACTCCACAACCAGACTCATATCTTTTAAAATGCAAGGACAAATATAATTTTCGACCACTTTCAGATCAATAATGAATTAGACATGTGTGCAACATTCAGATAGATGGAAACAGATGTATCTTTATTAGCTTTTTAGTGAGCTTGGGCCTATGAACAGAATAACACAACAAAATAATGAAATGAAGAAGGATGAACCAGAGGCATCGGAGGAAGGACTGACGAACTTCTTACTTGTGTTTGGTTAAGCAAAACCTCTATCTACTTCTTTATTCACATTCTCTTCCATGTGAGCTAAACCTTCTCTATTTCTATTTAAACCAACCATAACAATGTAGATGTACAGGAGATGCAGATTCATTGATTTCCTTATCTCACTCCATGTGAGATAAGTGAGCTAAGTGTTTGCTTTGTACTGCATACTGCAAGCACGCACTTGGTGCTACAGTTAATAAGAGCCTCTTTGACTTCTAAAACGATGTATGTTCCCCCAGTTCAAAGTTTAGGAGATAATCTTGAGAGGAAAGTAGACAGACTTAGATATTTGATCACCAGCAGTTGAAGCTTCAGTTGTTTGGTTGTTTCGAAAACAAAAAAATGGTAAGTTTGTCTTTGGTCAATAACAAATGAATAACAATAAAAGAGAGCTGTACTATTTTATCCTCCTCGTTTAATCTTCTTATGGAATGTGCCAGATTAGTCCTATCATGTAAAAAACTCAAATCATTGAATTACTTCAAAGTGTCAGCCCCCCAGGGCTTTGGTCTAATGGTAAGAGCGCATTTGCGAGGTGTGGATTAAGCGCACGTTAGGGGTTCAAATGTTGCCAAAGACAAGAACCTGGTATTTAAGTGGAGAAAGGAACAATTTCAAAGTATGCCGCAGTCATCTTTTATTTTTTATTTTTGAGTTCCTTATAAGTGGAAAAGTACACAACCTAGAGCTATTTCAGGAACAAAGGAAAAATGAAATAGCATTGAATCAAGTTGAAGCGAAAAAATTATTGCAAACCTGCCTGTGTTAAAGTTGTTGCGTCCGCGATTACAAAAGGAACATTGATGAGACGAGCTAGCGTCTTCGCAAGTAATGTCTTCCCTGTCCTTTCATTCACAGAAAACACAAGTTAGAACACAATGACCAATAAAGTCTACTAAAACTACAATTCTTATGGATAGACGACCATATATCATTTCTTTTAATAATGTAATATAATTTTACTAATAATGGGAACATTTCCGGTGTACTAGCAGTAATAGCATATACCAAAAAGTAGAGAATATAGAACACAATATGTTCTCTACAAACAAGCACCTAATCTTCTATACAAAATGAAACTCAATGGGTGCACCAAAAGGAAACTAAGAATGAGAGGCTATTCCCCAAACACTCCTCAAACTAGAATCAGATATCATACCTGAGCCAGTGGGGCCCATCAACAAAACATTGCTCTTCTCTAACTCGACGGAATCATTATCAAACATTTCCAGGCAATCTCTAACTTTACTGGAATCTGAATCTGACCTGACATTAAAATAGGAACTATCAGGGACCAAAACAAATAAAATTTACAATGCCTCTTCTCCCAAAGCACACTATTCTGCTTGTTTTAAAATTTTCATCTTATGCTTAAATCTTTTTTCCCATCATAAGGAAAAGTCATTCAAAAGTGAAATAGCCAACCTAAGCTAGTGTTGAACACAAAAAAGGAGGATCCCTGTACACAATCACATCTGCCAATAATTAAGGTAACTACATTCATAGTTACCATGCATCATCTGCAATATATGCTACACTCAGCAATATCCGTAGACGAATCGCAAGGATCACTTCTCCCAAAAAATTAAAATAAAAAAACCTCAAGGATTGTCTCCCACTCATTCACTTTGAACCAAAAGCAATATGCTAAAGTGAATACAATGTTTTCTGCATGCCAAATGTTTTTGCAGCTTTGACTTGCATTTTAACAATTAAAAGGTGCAAAGGACAAGACATCACAATACATCTAGCTGAAGCGAGACGATAGCAGTCAACCAAGCTATTGGATGATGTCAGATCCGGAAGACAAATAGCTCCATCTTTCATGCTTCAGTTGCGAACTAATCAACATGGTCCATTATGATGCTAAAACACTGAAATAGTACCCTGAAACTCCTCCCTTGCATGTTTGTACCAGAATTAGACATTGCCAAAGAAGAAAACCACCATCAAAGTGGAGGAAGCATGTCCCATTCTCATGGCATCTCTATGTTGAAAGATTTCGTTTCTTCCTCTTTGTACTTTATCACTTATTAAATAAATCTCGTCTTTTTCGTAAAGATTAGAAAAGAATTCTTTATGCTCGTTTGTCTTCAAATGGATATGATCACAGTCTAATCTGGCCTCTGAAAGTGTTCTATGCGACATTACCAATTTGTTACATTGGATCCTTGGTCACCCTTTAGTTACTATTCCCTCTTGCGCTTGAATCAAATCCTATTAAGTGGCTGCAAAGTCCTTTTACATTTCATGAACGCGATGGGGGATTTTTTCAAATTTGAAAAGCATCAAGAGCAGGTTTCTGGCAATAAAATTACAGCATCTAAGGAGAAGTCAATGTCTTGCTAATTGATATTGTTCGAGACAAGTAAAACATAAACAAGTTTCTAGATGGAATGGCCGGCGATAGGATCAGACTCTCCACTAAGGCAAGACAACTTCACAAGTTCAGTACATTTTAGCTGGATGATATGTCATTTAACAGCTCATATTTACTCACTTTTTATACAAAGAGGAATGGTATATTCGTTTGTAATGGTTGTAAACTGCAACAGAGAGCACCTGCAAGATGGAGTATTATCAAGTCAGTAGGAACTAAATTGAATCCCATGCTTTTCTCACCCCCAACCAAAGGGAAGAATTAAGTAACTAACCTTGCCAAATATGATCCCTTATATCTAACCACACTTCATTACTCCAATTATCTATATTAGCAAAAAAATCCAATCAAAGAAAAAGCAGAACAAAGATTACCTACCTTCTTGGCTTTCTCTTGACCAACAACAAACTGATCAAGCCCTTTACATATCTCCTTTGGTGTAGGCAACTCCATCCCTAAATTAGCACCTCCCCACCCTCCTCCTTCACCACACCCTTCTTCCTTTTTCACCGTCATATTGTTCTCCATTTCAGTATCACAACTACTCTTCCCGCCAGCATCATCGCCTCTACCACTAGTCCCACTGTAAGACCTCAACTTTTCCCAAATTTTACCGTCATTCTTCCCACAACTCCCCACCATTTCACCATCATTCTCTTTCTCTTTAACTCTCCCAATCTCAATGAAACTCCCGTGCAAAGGCTCCAACTTAAACGGCCTAAAGTAAAACGCCGTCCGGCAATGAGGACACAAATTCACCGCCTGATAAATTCCTGTCTCGCCGGCGGTGATCGACAACGGCCGGTTGGAGAATAGCACCGTCATCAACTTCGAACAACGCGGGCAGTTCACCTCTGCTTTCATATGATCATAGTTGTCGGAGCTTCCTTCCCATTTATGCCTAAACCCTAACCCTAGTCTAGAACCTTGGAATTTAAACTCTAAACTTATTCTAGAACCTTGAAATGAGTTGAAGAAGAGCGCGGGTTTTGGTTTGGATTTGAGAGAAGAAGAAGGAGAGGAATGGAACTTGGAAGATGATAAGAAAAAAAGAGATGTTCTGAAAGTGAAATTATGGAGCTTTGATTTGTATCTGAATATAGCAGACATTTGTTAAGCCTTCTTCGTCTTCTTCTTTGGTTCTTCTGAGCTCAGTCACGAGCATTTCAATGGAGGTTTTGCTATTGAGAGAGAATTGGTGCGGAGGAGTTGTGGAAGAAAATGGGCACCCGATACCCGCCCCACTTGGGATAATTTACATCAGGTAGCCACTTGTGTGGCCTGTATTTAAAATGTAGTCAAATTTTAAGAAATGTTGCAAACCTAAAAGAAAAAGAAAAGAAAAAACGGCACAAGAACCCTACTGGGCTGAACTTCAGATTTATTTCGTAGAGTTGTATCTCGAAACTTCAGACCACTGGTTTAAAGTTTCATTATGGCTAAAATTGCACTAATTTTCTAATATTTTACCATATTTTAAAGAATAGCATTAAAAGTGATTGTCTGTGCAAATGCCCCCAAAATAGCACGGTATAGCCAGTTTTCGGACTGGTCATTTAAAAATAGTCAGCATTTACGAAGTCAATGAAAAATAACCACTATTTTGCTGCAACAGAGACCGGTCCAGCATAATATACTGGAGTTCGGTGCACATGTGTATGAACTCCGGCATATTATGCTGGACCGATATACTTTGCTAACTCCAGTATAATATACTGGAGACTGGAGCACTGGTGCTCCAAACTCTAGTATATTATACTGGATAATTATACTTGCTGGAACTCCAGTATATTATGCTCGAGTTCTAGTGTACTTATGCTGGAACTCCATCATATTATGCTGGAGTTACAGCATACTTATCCTGGAACTCCCGTAATAATATGCTGGAGTTCAAGCATACTTATGCTGGAACTCCAGTATAATATACTAGCGTATTTTCCGGTTTTTAAACAGTATTTTCGCTCAAATTTATCTTTATGTGAAAAGTGGCTAAATTTCGATTACTTTTGAAACTGGGCTATTTTTGAACGACCAGTTGTAAATCGTAAAAATAGCACGGAATAGCTAGTTTTCGAACTAATCATTCAAAAATAGCCAGCGTTTACGAAGTCAATGAAAAATAACCACTATTTTGCTGTAATAGAGACCGGTCCAGCATAATATACTGGAGTTCGGTGCACCTGTGTATGAACTCCAGCATATTATGCTGGACCGGTATACTTTGTTGACTCTAGTATAATATACTGGAGACTGGAGCACCAGTGCTCCAAATTCCAGTATATTATACTGGACAATTATACTTGTTGGAACTCTAGTATATTATGTTGGAGTTCTAGTGTACTTATGTTGGAACTCCATCATATTATGCTGGAGTTCCAGCATACTTATCCTGGAACTCCAATATAATATACAGGATCAAGCATACTTATGATGGAACTCCAGTATAATATACTGGCGTATTTTCTGGGTTTTGAACAGTATTTTTGCTCGGATTTATCTTTACATGAAAAATGACTAAATTTCGATTACTTTTGAAACTGGGCTATTTTTGAATTTCTCCCTTAGAATTGAACTTATATGGGCTTTTATTTAGTCCATATTCCACATTTCTGCATTTATGATGAAGAGAATGTTTTCTTCACTCCAGAAACAAATAGAAGAATTAACCAAAATAATCGTTCACCCTACTGTTTAAATTAAAAATAGCCGATAGATGTTTAATATATGTATAATTCATATATGATATGTATGCAATCGTGTATAATCAATGTATAGTTTATGTATATAGATTAGAAAAAATAAACAATGAATCCGACAGACTATTTATGGATCGGAGCATTTGTACATCGCGAGTGATAAAAACAATTTTTTGTACGTCGAGCGTCATAACTAAAGAATTTATATTGATGGTTCTGGAGATAATGACTATTGACTTGTATAAAATACATAGTATTGAACAGGGATATATGTCAATAGAGAGAGCGGATAATGAAAACTACATTAAAGATTGATAATAATGTTAGTAGTTTAGATATAAAAAGGAATCAGCAAATATAATCTTGGGGCGAACTATCTTACTCATGCAATATATATCTTCGAAAACTAAGAGATGTTTTGATTTTCAACAAACTTATCTTGTAAACTTTTAATATGTTCAGTATGCAAAAGTTATTTGTTTTTAATCAACAGAGCCGGCCTGATACTATAAATCACTTTGTATGCTTGAGCAGGTTTAATTACAGCATATTTGTGAGATTGGAAGAGTTGGACTATAATATTTTTAATCATTTTACATTTTTGCATGGCTGAAAGATGTTATAATTACTTCTTAATCGTATCTAATCACAGCTTTAGACTTGGTAAAAAAACAGTTCGGTACACAAGGCATATATCCCGTATTCATGCAGGGGTCTGAAAAAGGACCGCACCCATGATGTAGTCAAGTTGTGACTTAGTCCAATGAGGACTTCCCATGTGTTGACATTCTGCATACATAATATTTGGAGTTGAATTTGCAGAAGAAGTAAGGTTTCTTCTACTGAGATCTGGAATCATCTTAATTTCCTCTTTTCTCCACTTTATTATTTTCAGATGATGTAATGTAACTGCCACTCCTTTTTCTTTCTCTACCTCTTTACTCAAGGAACAACTGTTTGGTGGAAACAGTGCAATCTTTTGATTAGTGGATTCTAATTAATTCATACATCTTATATGGTGATATTCAGGTCTTGCTTGAGATCCAAAAAGATGGAAGTCAAACCAATCTGGATTTTTCTAAAATGGACCACAAGCTTATACCAAGAATAATGCAAGTTTCATATGTGGTCACACTCTCAGCTCTCTAGCTGGAAATCAAACATCTTCATTTCAGCTAGCTGCAATAGTATTCATGTTATATTTGTAACTTTTACTACTTTAAGTCTTACCTCGACAATATATATAGTTGTTTGTCGGTCTGAGATTTTAATGGCCTTTTAATTTCTATATGTTGTGGTCATGAAAATCTTTTAATTTCTACATGTAGAGTTTAGAAAAAACAAAACTAAAAGAGAACAATTGGTATAGAGTTCAATACTTCAATATATTTCACTATTTTGGGAAGTGAACAATTTTGCGCTTGTTCTATGAGTTGTTTTCATATCTGCATCTGTTTTAATTCAGAAATAACAGCAAATCCGTCAGCCAGGTTCATTTGTAGGCCACTTCTTAATGCGAGGATTATAACATAGAGATTAAATAATGATGAGATTATTTAGTGAATATACTTTTATTGGTACATATTTAGTTCACTGGACTAAAATTAAGATATTTAGAGTATCATATTAAACATTTTGTCTCAAATTGGATTTTGACTTGGCCTACTCTTCGGAGAACTACTTTTGAAGAAGAACGCGCACAACTATAATTTTGAATAAAGTTGTTTAAATTTGTTTAAGAAGAAAATTATTTTGTGATGCTCCCAATTTATCCCTACATTGGTTTGGGGGTTGGGGGATTAAAAGATCTTAGTAAAAATAGCACAGACTAGCCAGTTTTAGGATCAATAATTGAAAAATAGCCAGCATTTGCAAAATTATTGAAAAATAGCCATTATTTTACTGAAACACGGAAAGTTCTAGCATAATATGCTGGACTATGGTGGTCCTATGTATAACCTTCCAACATATTATGTTGGAACTCCAGCACACGAAAAGTGCCAGCATAATATGCTGGATTATGTAGCTCATCCGTATAAACTTCTAACATATTAAGTTGGAACTCTGGTACATTATGAAATTCTAGCACGTCACATTATACTAAAATCTCATATGTAAAAAATTCGAACTCCATCAGATTATGCTGAAATTTTTTCCGGATTTTTAAGGGGGTTTTGTTCAAATTTTATCTTTACATGAAAAAGTGACTAAATTTCGATTACTTTTGAAACTGTTACGCACTATTTTTCAACTATTAGTTTTGAATTTGACTATTTCTGATTTTTTCTCAAGATCTTACGAGTAATTTTAAGTTCAATTTCTGTTTTTTTCCTTTTACTTTTTTGGGGTCCGATTAATTCCCTTTTTTTAGGGATTGCTGTTTTGCTTTGGAAGCTCACACAAGCACCCTCCGTACGAACATATGTTTTTCCTACTCAAATTAATGTAAGACCTTTGCTATATTCTAGTGTTTGGGGCCAAATACAATACTACTACATAAAATTGACTCATAAACTGCACTGATTATTAAAATAGTAATCCCAAGAAATCCATTATAAGGATGTATAAATATAATTAAATCCAGTCCGCACTGGAGGTATTAATTAGTAAAACAAAATCCAACCAATAAGTAGAAGCTACACCAGTCCAATTCCCACATGCACTAGCTAGTAGTAGTACTATATTACATTACCAAAGTAAGTATTATTTTAAATATTATGCTAATTCTAGAAATGACCATACCCCCCATAATATAAAATTCAAACATTAAAGAGTTACATAAAATAAAATAAAAAAGGATAATTAAACTTGATTTTGAGGAATGGTAACGTTGGAGTTTTTCTTGGCAAGATTGTGCTTATTGTTGTGCATCCAAACTTTAAGTACTCTTCTTTTAATTCCAAGTTCTTGACAGAATTGTTGCACCACAGTTTCCTCTTGTTTTTGTATTTTCCATCCAACTTTCTCAGCAAAATTGAACATTTTCTCCTTCTGTTCTTGAGTAAACTTTGTTCTAAACCTTTTCTTCACCATTTGATTATGATGATGTAATGGCCTAGCCATAGCCATAGCCATAACCCCACCACCACCATTAATATCTTCATGCTCTTCTGACTCAGAAGGAAGTGACCCCATATTATTATATGACATTATCATCTGATGATGATGTGGTGCTGTTGCTCTAGAAGGGATTATAGTTCCATATTGTTCAGGTCCCAAAAGGCTTTTGTGATGGTTGTGTGAGTGTCCTAAATAAACTTTTTTCCCTCCCCTGTTGAGATTATAGTAATCACAAGAGGAAGGTGGTGGTTGTAGTTGAAGAAGTTGCTGCTCACCTTCTATTTCTTTTCTGTGGAAATTTCTATGACAATTGCAAGCTGAACAAATGAGTGCTTCTATTGTACCTTCTTCACCACTTGGCATAAACTCACCACATCCATCAGTTGCATTTCCACCCATTGCTGCTGCATGGTTCTTGAGGCATTCTTTGTACCTATGGAAACACATACTATAATTAAATTATGCTCTTCGAATGGGTGCTTTAGCATAG